GACATTAAAAACAAAAACAAGTTAAAACAAAAGCTCACAGCATTGTCAGGATCTCCCTGGAAGAACTTGAGGTCTGAATCATCCAGAAACTGCCTGCAGTCGGGACACTTCGGCGGAGGCGTCTAAAACGCAAAAAAAAAAAGGGATTAATTTGCTGCATTAAATCAAGTAGCAGCGCAAAAGGGGGACGAAATGAGTCACCTTGGCTGTGGACACAGGCTTGATGTTGCCATTAGTGGCGTTCTCAGCGTCAGGCCTGAGAGAGGGGATAAGAATTAAACTCATGTGCATTACCTACGGAGAACAACAGTTTTATTAAATTTGCATCCGGGAACTCACTTCTCAGCTTCCGTTTTAAGGCGTTTCTCTTCGTGGACCTTGACGAAGGGAAAAGCTGCTGTTAAAATATGACTTTCATGCACTTAATAAAATGGCATTACCTTGCAAAACAATTTTACCTCCTCTGTAATATCTTCCTCAGTCTTAACTTCTGTGTCACCATTTGCTGGTTCTCCATTCAACTCATCAGACTTGCGTTTTGGGCTATTGGAGGAGGGTACAACACCTTTCACTTATAAACCGAAGGGACTAAACTACTTATTTCAACTGCTCGAGCACATTTCACAAGCCACACGTTAGACTTGCACTAAATCAGATATTACATTTTCAACTTACACTCTGGAGAACATTGACAGGATAGTTGGCTGTTTCCCGGAGTTGCGTGTAACCCTGCTACTGCCTGGAGATTCTGTGCGCGGGAAAAAAAGAAAAGTCATTAATAAACACTCAACATTCAACATCAGCACACAATGTGGAGATACAGCTGTCAACTCACTCTTGGTCTCAGAGTCTGCTTTACTGCGACGGCCACCCCTTCCCTTTGGGACGCTGGGAGACTTTATAGCATCTCCTTCCTCCAGAGTATCCATGGCTCCTTCCTGCTCGCCACCGTCTTTGTGAGATCCGTTTTCAGAGAAGCCGTTTGAATGTCCATTCTGCTCCACTCCATCCACCCTGACAACTCCCAGAGCTTTCTTCAGTATGGCCTTCACCTCCGACGTGTAAACCTCCTGAACACAAAGACACGAGTTAGAGCTCAAGTGCTCATACTCTAGATGAGAGAATTGAAAGGGCAGAGCAAACTCACAGTAGAAAGCTCGGAGCTCTTTAACTTGTCCTCAAGGATTTTGAGCTGGTCCTGAGTATCAGAGAGCAGGAACTCCTGCAGTAACCTGAGCTTTTCCTTTACACACTCCTGGACAATGAAGAAAGAAAGAGTGCAGTCAATCTGCATAAATATGTTCAGTGGACTTTGCTGAATTTCTTGAACTTAAGTAGGATTGGGATGGAAAAAAAAAAAGTTTTCAATTTAATAAACCTAATTTTGATGAACCCATTATATAAATTCTAACATCCCAAAAAATTTGAGGCCGTGTTGTTTTGTTAATCAATACATTACAATAAGCCTTGTTACTTTTGATACACAACTCTGAATTTCATAAAAGGACAAATTCAGAACATGATGCATAAATGTCTTCCTCTAAACTGCTAGTTATAGCACACAAAAAAAACAGTCAAATAATATTACATTTGCTTCTATAGCCAGCTAGACAAACAGAGGAGCATTTTGCCAAATATACTCTACATTTCTGAAGTTTACTCATGTAATTTCTTTAAGTTTTGTATAGACTAGAAAAATTCTACAAAACTGTACAATGGATTTAAGTTTTAAAATGCATATCTTAATGCAACCTCCCTATAAATATTTTAGTCAGCTCAAAAATAATCTATGCAGCAATAATATATTTGAAATAATTAAGAGCAGTTCCATGTCGTCTATCCTTGTATTGTTCAACTGGTTAAGATTGATATGGGATTTAGAAAGTACCAATACTTTATTAAGAGTGTAATCAGTACAGTAAGCTAATTACACTATATCTCCGTGAAATTATCAGGAATAACCCAACCATTTTAATTGAATACGGGTCCAAATGATGCAAAGAAAACCCCTCACCTCATCTGACAAACTGTCACCACCTTCATCCAGCACCTGAAGCCTGGGAACAAGGTAAACATCATCTCATTAACATTGGCCCACAGATCTCTCCACCCACTTTGAGTGACCAAAATGACGAGTAATACATTTAACAGTATAAATAATACTTTAATTGTTAATATTTATTCTTACCTCTACGGTAATATCAGATGCTAACATGTTCTACTCAACAAATGCTAGCATGTGATTGCTCAAGTAAACAAAACACGCGCATACAGAGACATTTATTTTCGTACTAACACCATTCAAATGAACTTCCTTGAGTAAACTACACGAAATACAGGCGAAATCAATCAGTAGCAGTGGGTCTAATGACTTGCAATGATTGAGTAGTGGGAGACAGGAGGCGGGCAGGGCTTCACTAGGACGGACACATGTTTATTTGGCGCCAAATGCAGTAGGACTGACACCTGCAAGTCAAATCGCATCAAAACAACCGGCCGCCGCCTGTTTTACCAACTAAACGCGAGCTAACGGTAGGTTGAGCATTTGTAAGATGGCTAAATGCTAACTAGAGTATAAAAAAATCTAAACCGTGACGTTTTTAAATATTCAAACAGCACTTAATACACCAGCCGTTATGTGACGTGATCAACGTGAAACGAGTCGCGAGCAAAGCCCGCGAACTAGCAAGCTATCAAACCCAGTTAGTTGCTTTAAACAAACACAGCACCGTACCGTTCCTTGACATCCTCTGGCAGAGACAGTGAGGTCCTGGTAGGCATTTCAAGTTCGAGATTGATCAAAGAAAATACTATTTAAAAACACGATTTAAAACAATAAAGACAGATAAAAGCCGTTATTAAAATCTGACAGTGCCAACAGCAGCGCGCGATAACGGGGCTCAGCGGGCTTTATGAATTGACGCTAGCGGCTGGGAAATACGCGCGGGCCGCTTTTCGCGCGGAAACGCGAGTTGGACGCTACCACTCTTATTCAAAGCACGGGGGTCAACTGTGTCAAATAAGTTGTGCGTTTCTATTTTGGTTTTAAATAATTCAAGTACGTTCTTTTGAGTATATGAAAATGACATTAGTATTATGAAATATATACTTTAAGGGTGAAGGAATATCAAATCGTACGTTGTTTCCAAGGATTCTTTTTTATGTGCACCTCTTGTACGGCTTCAGAAGACTCAACCGATATAGGATGTACCACGTTTTGCCTCGCTCAGGGGTGCAAATTTGGTCCAAGAGCCCAACTCTTCCAATGTAAATATTTAACTGCCAGTGACGAATAGAAATTTGGGGCGAACCGACCAATTCAATCGGTCTATTTTAATCAAGTTTATGTATCTTCAAACAAACAAACAAACAAACAAACAAACAAACAAACAAACAAACAAACAAACAGATAAACGTATAAATAAACATACATAAATGCAGAGTCCTGTGAAATAAAGGCACCCTAAAATCAACATGAATCTAATGTTAAAGAAATTCAACAGCAGCAGCAGCAGCATTTCCTATAATTTGCATTTTCAGTGTTCATATTTGATATTCATGTTTATATTGAACTATTAAAAAGAAAATATAATAATAATATATATATATATATATATATATATATATATATATATATATATATATATATATATATATATATACCATTATATAAAGAAATACAAATTAAACATTTTGTTATTTTAAAAGCTTAATCTTTTTTTTTAGATGATTTTATTTTAGATAGTCATAGTAACCTACTCCTGTCACCACATTGCCAACCACAACAATCTGACATAATCATTCATAGTTTGATCAGCCCACATTATCATGCAATCCTCGTTTATCCTATAGATGGCGCAATAGTCCAGTACAATGGCACATGAGTCAAACTCGTTTCTTTGGCTGACCACAAGGTGGCACTGTTGCACAGCGTTTGTAGTTTACTGCTGTCTGAATAATCATCTTCCCACATATTGCGGCGTGGAGTGGGTGTAGAGAATGAACATAAATCACGGAATTTACTGAGAACAGCTCTATATGTTTGCAGCAGTTTAACCATGATGACGTCACTTCCTGCTAACGCATGGCCATATTCCCAGCTGTGTAGTCTCCCAGGGTGGGTTGCTGTTCCCACTCAGGAATTCTGGATGTTTGACAACAACCAGGCCAGACCATCTTTAAGCCCACTCAGTCAGGGTTCACAATCTTTTCTTTTCTTTTCTTTTTTTAGCTAAGAGTAGCCCCAGCTTATGGTCATGCCGTCCCAGCAACCCCTTTCCCATAATGCCAATCCCATTGATCTAGTCATACTCCTGGTATCCTACAAAAGCCTTCAGCTAAACATCTGCACTCCCACAAAACCTTGGAACTGGCACTTATTGGACTGTCAGAAATCAAGGCCAGCAGTTGGGTAATGTTGTTAGCAAATAGATTCATGTCATGGCGAGTCTGCCCTTAACCATGTTCGTGCATGCTAACATTTTTAGTTTTTTTTTTTTTTTTGTCTCTTTAGATTTCTGTAATATGTTGAATAAGCTCTTGAGTTCAGATTGTTAACCCAATACTGCGTAGGTCTGACATTCAAAACAAATTGCGTAGTGGCATTAATCATTTCTGTCACACACACAACAACCACCTCAGAAGTTACACTTAAAGGGACAGTTCACCCAAAAATGAAACTTCTGTCATCATTTATTCACCATGATGTTGTTTCAAACCTGTATAAGTCTCCTGTTGAACACAAACGATTTTTTAAAGTATGTTGGTTGATGATAGCCATTGACTTTCATAGTACTTTTTTCTTACTATGAAAGTCAAAGGCTATCAACCGTCTGTTTTTCTTTTGTGTGTGTGTGTGTGTGTGTGTGTGTGTGAACTATCCCTTTAAGCATATGCTAAATGCATAAATGCAATCATGATGCAGTCAATCAATCAATAAGCAATAATAATTTTCAACAACACCCTTAAAACATATAAATTAAAGAATGACAATCAAGCAATGACTTTTTCATTTTTTTTTTATTTAAAAAAAAAGGAATGAACTAATGTGCATGTACCTACATTAGTGTTTGGGATTGTACCGATTTAGCACAGGTAGCTTGCTACTAAACACAAGGCTATTGCACACAAGACATTCTACATGTATACACAATACATACATTCTGTACATAGATACATACATACATTAATATATTTATCATAATAAAAAAACACTAGCATTGTTCCACAGGGTAGGCAATGTTTTACATTGAACGGAGTGATAGTGATGCTCACACTCTTCATGCATTAAAAAAAAAAAGAAAGAAAAACCAAAATACATTAGACCGGCATTGGAAGAGCTGCCAAAGTGCTTTCTCTGCTGAACCAAACCGATCAACAGAGGAAACTAAAACATGTTGGGATCAAACGCTGAATGGGTTTGATTGAGTGAGTGAAAGTGTTGGGCTGATGACATTAACGTATAACAACATTAAGGTCAATTCATAACAACAGGAGGAAGCGTAGGAAACACCGGACTTCCTGAAGTTGCAGGAAGTTTAAATCGTCTTCAGAAGACTTGTGATCCATTACAACACAGGGTTCCCATATTTCAGAATGAATATGCCTTCAAAAGAGAGAAAGTCATACTCAATTTGTCCCATCAACGGCCTATCAATTTCAATTAACTTTAATTGTCGTTAATACTTCACAGTGTGCGAGCCTTCTTGTTGCTGCAAGCTCAATAATCAACAGGAGAACAATAAAGTTCACTAATACTGTCGATCAGCGAAAATGTTCGCTTGTAACACTTCATTCTTCTATTCAGTTCCATTCGTCAAGAGGGCACAACACGAAGCACACGCTGCCGCAGCGACGCTACGACGTTGTCATGCCAACAGATCCAGAATTTACACCGGCTGCTGTGAGAAACTCATTTCAGGATTACAGTAATCATATACCGACTGTGCTTTCCTCATAGGACAAATTAGGAATGTTAAAATAAATGAAACGGAAAGGGACAGACAGTGAGTTTAGATGGACAAATTGAAGTAACGTTGACAATTGTAAATAGGTTTGCCATACATATTAGTTTTTACACAGGTTAGACATTCATGCAATACAATGAAGCTGAATACTTGTCTTGTCGGTAATCAAAGGGTGTTATGCATATCAAGTAATTCGATAAATACATGGGAAAGGTTCTGCAAGCATGCGTGGTGGTTTGGCTCATGTGGAGTGCATTGTCGATCCTTACATTTCAATAAGTCCTCTCATATCTCTGAACCATGACAGTGGCAGTCGAACTTGTGGATAGGACACATCTTGTACTTGACTTCTGGTAGGTTAGTCAGCATAGGAGAAATATACAATCCCAAACTGCCTAGATAGAAGTCTACAAAGTGCAATATTTTTACATTTTGGTTTTTCGCGTTCTGTCAAAGAGCTAAAATACATGTTCCCATTTGGATTTGGCTCTTTAATTTGCCTGGAAATGTCAAACATGTGATGGTCTTATTCTGTGATGGTCAAGAAGCAACAAAGGACACAAGGGAGTCCAGTACCACACCTGTGAGAGTCCAAAGACGTTGATTGCGATTCTCATTTTATCCATGAGGTCTCTGAACGTGCCTCGTCTCCCCTTATCTTTACGCCCCTAGGTACTGTGGGGGCAGAATCAGACACAGGTAGTGCAGTCCTGCATGATGGGAGTCGACTGATGTTCGTGCTTGTTGGTGCAGTGCTCCATTGAGCTTGAGCTCTTGAGCGGCACCATGCAGCGGTGAGGAGGTCTGCCGCAGTAGAGCAGCCCCCAGCAGCACAAAACCCTGAGGAACTCCTTCCTCATGTCCTTACTCCGCAGCGTGTAGATCAACGGGTTCAACGCAGAATTCAGCGTGGCGATGCTGAAGAAGATGTCAGCTTTGTGGAGGATAGGGCATTGCTGGATCGGACAGGAAGCATCCAGGATCAGGATGGTGAAGGCGGGCAGCCAACAAATGATGAAGACGCCCAGCACGATCGTGACCGTCTTCAGGAGAGCGTAAGCTGGAGAATTGGTGGCCTCTTGGTGGCTGGTGCGCACAATCAGGTAGATGCGAACGTAAAGGATCACGATGGACAGCAAGATGATGGTAAAGATGGTGACGACAAACAGGACGTAGTAGCGGGTGTTGAGAGGCAGAACAGCGGAGCAATCCTCCAGGTGGTTAATGCAGTTCCAGCCGATAATGGGAAGACCTCCCAGAAGGATGGACATCACCCAGCACGCTCCGATCAGAAGGAACATGCGGCAAGTTTTGTTGGAGCCATAAACCTTGACCTTGGTGATGGCAATGTAGCGCTCTATAGCGATAGCCAGCAGGCTGAAAACTGAGGCGGACAGGGCGATGAAAGCGGTCCCCTCTCGTATGAACCACTGGACGGGCACCAAATGAAATGTCCTGGGGCCTGACAGAAAGATGTTGGCGATATACGCGGAGCCAGCGAGTAAGTCAGAGAAGGCCAGGTTTCCAATGAAGAAGAACATGGCCGAGTGGAACTTCTTGTTGCGGAACACGGCAATGAGCACCAGGAGGTTTTCCAAGATGATGATACTGCAGATTATGACAAATACAATTTTCAGGGTGTCCAGGCTTTCTTTACTCTCCATGCGCTTTATCATTTCGTCATCGTTCATGTCCTTGGTAAAACGATAGTGGACCTGTATGAGGGTCTTGTTGAAGTACTGGGAGTATTTGCTCATGGTGACAGCTTGGCAAAGCCGTGCAACTAGACGGCCAGTAGTCATTCAGAGGGCAGGTTGTCTGGGCCAGCAGGGCCACAGGAAACGAGACGCCCAGCCCGAAGGCACGTCTCAGCGGCCCAGGAAGCTCTTCGGTGTCACCTGGGAACAAATACAAAAAAATAACAATTACTGGCAGGCCAAATATTTTTTTTAAAAAGGGACAAATTATTAAAAGTTGTAATTTCTGCACCTCTAACAGTGCCAGACAATCTTTTTGAGTGGGCAGCATTGACAAATTTGAGTGAGATTACCAACGCATTCTCATCCTTTGGCATCAAATCGGTGACGCCATATGACATTTCGTCGAAATACTACCCACATGGCATCAAAATATTACACACTGTTATGGGTAGGGGTAGGGTCTGCGTCTCATATTGACGCTAAAGGATGCCAGTCACCTGAAGGACGCATTGGGTTCTGCGTGTTATATTGACGCTTAAGGGTGCCATGTGCGTAGTATTTCGACGAAATGTCATATGGTCACCTATGACGCCAAAGGATGAGAACGGGCTGAGATTACTAGTGTGTCCAAACAATGGAAGATGGGGGGAGTGTTGTTTTTTTATTGGCAATTTTGTTGCAGGTAAAAATCTTTAAAACCCATTTTTATGTCAGCTCTAATATGCTTCATATAATGCTATTCAAAGTCTCTGAAATCTGGTCAGCCTCAGAAAAAAAGGTACAAAAGCTGTCACTGGGGCTGTGCCTTTTCAAAAGGTATACTTTTGTACCTTAATGGAACATATTAGCACTTAAAATGTAAATATTAGCACCTAGAATGTACATATTAACAGCTAAAATGTACATATTAGCACCTAACATATTAACTCGTAAATTGTACATAATAGCACCTAAAATGTACATATTAGCCCCTAAAATGTACATATTAACACATAAAATGTACATATTAACACCTAAAATGTACATATTGGGACCTGAAACCTTGAAAAGGTACAGCCCCAGTGACAGCTTTCATACTTTTTTTTTCTGAGAGTGTGTGTACATTAGGTCCTGATTCCCCCTGGTATTAAGATGTGTTTTCAGTGATCCGTTTCAGAAGTCGTCAGGCTAACTGCATTACCATTTCCACCAGGTATTATCATGCGTTTCAAATCTCCTTTGATTACTTGTGTTCAGATTTCGTTTAGACCCTCCCCTCCAAATTCATCACACTCTACATCACTTTTATGGGATCAGTCTGTGCTGCGTACATATAGGCTACAACTAAATGCACAATCTCAAGTTACACATCTTACGAGTGAGCAGGAAAGGAAGTGAATGTAAAAGATAAGGAGGGGAGCTATGATTTTTGTGTTTCACAACACAGTGAAGATCGCTTGTTTCGGTGTGCTCACAAACATGTCCAAAAAAAATTCAAGAACCCATTTACACATCCTAATACCAGGTAGACACATGTTTGTCATGTTATACACAATTACAGACACAAGGTTACTCTGCTCCAGACTGTAGCTACAATTGCTCACTAACAAGCTTCATCCTCGTAGTGTGCGCCAGGCTTCATCTAACGATCAAGCAGTGGTCCTGCACTGATCAGACACATGTTGGAAACCCAAAATAGCTCAAGTAGTGTTCTGGAATTTCCCTTCTGAGTAAAGGCGCCATGCCAGAACTGTCCTTCAGCTACAATCTGTTCTTGCCCCATGAACTAAGATAAAAGTGCATGTGACAGACAGTCTTCTACACCTACACATAACTGCACTGTCTGTGGGACTGGATGCTTAGTCTCACTATTGTAACCTCATGAGATGTGTAAAACAACATCACAGAAACCATCACCTTGTCATCTGAATGTCTATTACATTTTACAAGAATCACAAAGAACATCAAACACAAAGTGTCATTTCCACAAGGCCACAAGTCTATAAACTTTCCCCGAATCTAAAATCCCCAATCAACTGCTGATGACTACATACATAGGGGAAATGCTGAGATTGACATTCTTTGACGGACTGCTGAATGCATAAAAACTAATGCGCAGATTTGAGTAACAAGGTTCAATGCATGTCAGAGACAGAGAATGTGAGCAAACAAGTGTGATTACCTGCATCTGGCCTCAGACATGCAGTCACATTATTACACATAATTACAGTATTTTAGATTTAAGTAACCCCATTCAGCTTTTGGCTAGCTGCTAAAATTGCGTAATTTTGAAATTGAAATAGTTTTTCATATAATTTGCTTGCCCAGTGCCTTTTATAATGCGTCAAGTAACGTGCAACTGCAATGCCATCAAGACTGGAACTACTTTATAGCCAAAAAGTTGTGGAAAATGTAATATCCAACATAATATCCATTTTTCCCACTTTTTGTGAATGCTAATAAAATTAATAGTGATAATTTGCCCAAGCACTATTGATATTCAACTATAGACTTGGCTATTTTCTAAATGTATCTCACTGTGAACAATTCTTCTAAACATATCTTTCATGTTTTAATAAAAAAAAAATGATAAGACCCCTTTTGCGTCGACGTCACAGTTACGTCACGGCGCTAGCTGGAGGCAAAACAAAGTGAAAACTGGAGGCGGCCAATGCAAACCAGCACAGATTCGGCTACATAATAAGGAGCTTAAATTATTGTTCCTATTATTAAATGTCATCTTGTTGTGTTGTTTGGTGCAAGAATTGTTGAAAAATTAATATGCTGTATCTGGAACTTTTATTTCTAAAGATGTATATTCCCCTTAGTTTCTATTTACGATCGGTTTCTCTATAAGGTAGGTGTAGAAGTCAGGCCACTCAGCCGAGGTAACGTACGTTAATCCTGTCAGATCGTCCATGCATTGAGTGAGCGTGTAGACGGCTACAGGTCGGCCAATCTGATTCTGTCCATTAAAAATAACTTTTGGAAATAACAATCGCGGTCCTGGACACTGAGTGACCTTACACATTAAGATAATATCGTATTTTCTCCAGTCATTGTTAAAAAAACAAGCTAACAATCCTTGCTAACTAGCGTTAGAGAAGCGGCCAGAGGGATCTTTCTGCCTCCACCTAAGCTCCGCCCACAAAAAAACGTCACCATGTTTACCAACTGAAAAGGGGTCTATATCCTAACTCTATCTTCTGGTGAAACAACAGATTTCTCTGCCGGACTGATTTGAACTCATTTTGTCCCCTTAAACCTGGCTATTGCAATTAATTGCAATCCAATCAACAAACAATGGTTAGACCAAGTGCATGACCTAGCCTAGATTGTTTTTTGATAAATTTCACTCCATCACTATATACGGGAAATAACTTATTTCATTGCGACTTAAAACTACAGATTTAAATATTACATTTACATTAAAAACGCGAAAGAAATTAAGAGTCAAATCACATGCAAACAGGCCTTTTGTTTCAATTCAGAAGGGCAAACAAGAGATCTCCAGGAGATAAAGTACTTAACCACAAGGTGTCTTTGAGCTGTGGCCTAGTGGTTAGGCACACATGCTCAATACGTTGAACCCCGGTATTGTATCATGTCCAGATCTCTAATTTCCTGTCTACCACCTACTGTCACAAATTACAAAAGACCCCAATAAGTACATCCCATAGTACTTTAGAGTGAAGTCTGAACACAATGGGATGTGCTTTGGTGTATACTTGCATACTTTTGAGATGGCGAATCAAGATATTTGGCTAGGATATGATATCTCTAGGCAGGTGGTTACAAAAGTGGTAGCTGGGCTCACATAGCTGTTCTACACCAGAGCAAAAAGGCCAAAGCCTCAAAACTGAAAGATGCAAATCCCCCGTCAGGGCAGAGTCACTGTAGAGACTATGCAACCATGTGGAATGGCATCTGGAGACAAAGGCAGGAATCTAAGACATCTGTGTGACGCACACACCTCACTTCGACATCTCTGTTGGCTGCACACAGTTCAAAACACCTCACAGATGTGGACTTATGTAAACATACCAGGAAACGTGTCTCAGTCACCTACAAACACACAATAAGGTACAGCTGCGCAGACAGTGGCACTAACCTGCTGCCAAATATATATCCAGCAATAATATAATATCCAATAATATCCAGCAAGGCCATTTCCTTGAGCAGCAGCGAAGAACAATGGTCTCCTTGTCCAGGTTATGTTTCACTCGATACTCTCCAAAGGCACACTGTGCTCCGAAATTACACCATGCATCAACTACCAAATGCAAGCTCTACAATTCAAACTATTCTCAGCAAACAATCAACAGCTTATAGCATCTGGCCGAAACTTAAATTACCCAAACAGGTAAGCTGCCATCTCAGACACCGAAGGACGCTTTTAAAAACAGCCCTACGCCTACACACTGAAATTTCACTCTCAGAACAAGTTTAAGAAATTAGTTTCGCTACTGACAACTTGTGTTTGTAATTTCACCGTGTCGTCTGCAAGCTCCCGCTCACATGCACTCTGGTCCTCGGTGTTACCTTGGGGACCATGCCGACTTTCATCATGGGATTTGACAACTTGTGAAACCTGATGGGCTGGTTTGTCGGCAGTGCCGTCTCCGGCCTGCCCCACTTTACAAGTATCCCCATTCCCCGCCCTGTCCTGTAACTGCAGACTAGAAGGGACGCCAGATCGTCCTGTCTGAAATAAAACGTTTGTCTCTTCCTCTACAAAAACCATATTCATCATGCTGAAAGATAAACAAGACGTTCAAAACTGTGAATGCATCGCCAGTAGCAGGACTCCTCAGTCCAGCTGGCTAAGAAGAGCAGTCTTCCTGTACACAACTATTCTGTTATAGGCCAGAGGAAGTGTTTGTGGTGTCAAAAGACTAACATCCTGTTCTGACTTGATAGCTGACTGGCGGAGAGCTAGACAGTTAACGTGGGAAAGGTTCAGTGGAAGTGAGAGACGCGAACGCAGAGCAGAGCAGAGGAAGTTTATTCGGATTCTTACAGGTGTAATACGTGCGGCAGGAAATGAGCCAAGGCGAGGCAACAAGCCGCTTCTTTTCTGTCAAACTTGCGCGACAGACAGACATAACTTCGAGAAGCCTTTGTTGATTTGATCAGAACTGAGTCATCATAAAGGTCACTGTTACAGTTCACAACAAGGCAACCATATGATTACCATCTCTCGTTCCAGTCAGTGAAAC